CATGCTAAAGCAGCATAGAGAGGAGATAAGTAACTGTGCTCACACACATACTAAATTCTATGTTTCCTTTCCTCCCTCAGGGTTTGAGACACTAGAGCAATTTCTCACAAGATGCTATTTGAACTACAGAGAGACAGACATGGGCATTTCATGATAACTACATTGTTTTCAAAACAGTGTGCTTTTATCCTGGAATACTCCCAAAACAAAGACCAGAAAAGAATAAAATGATGCTCTTGAGTTTCCACAAGGATAAAGAATTGAAGTCCCTGGCTGCGAATATAGCTTAGTTGTAGTGCAGGCCTCGCATGAACAACCCCCCTGGTCAATGCCCCAGGATGGGAAACTTCAGCAGAGAGAACTCAAGTCCTGACTGCAGGAACTGTTTGCAGCCAGTTATCTAATTTAATCTACAATCTATCAAGGAACTTGCCAAAACTTTTCGAGTTTAAACTACATATGTTTGCACTTTTAAGACGACTACAGAGATTTTACATTGCTTTAAGAGAGGGTCTTGCTATGTAGCTCAGGCTAGCCTCAAACTTGAACTCCTGCTGACTCAGTTTCTTAACGTTAGGGTCATGGGAATATGGAGCCATGTCCAGCAGGAAATTTAACTTTTTAACCAAACCTAGTACTTAGATATTTTGGGTGACTGAGTTAATTTATACCAAATATCAGATCTGTTATCTGCCTTTTGATCTTTGTGACAAAGAATTTATATTGTGGCTGCTCAACACCAGACATCACCTCAGCACACATGACTTTGCACAGGACCTAGAACAGGCTTTCGATCTCTAACGGAAAAAGACACTGAGTGAGTAGCACAGTCTGATGAAGTTCTGGGGGAACAATGGAGAAGACAGTGTCTGCCTTCATGAGGGTTTCTAAGACCCAGTCCTCATGTTTGTGCTCTCTCCCTTCAGTAAACCTGTCCTCCTTCACTCCAGTTTGAACTGCCTCCTTATGTAGGCAAAAACAAAGCACCAATAGAGAGAAGGTTACAAGAAATACTCTTATTATCTTTAGTGTTTGTTTCCCATTTCTCTTCTCTTTTTTTCCTTTAAAACATTTCGTATGAAAAGTAAATAATTAAAGGGACCATTAAGACATTAAAACCTGTATAATTGTCAAGCTACACTAATAATAATACATGTCACGACTAGCGACACCTGGTCCTCTTCCTAGGAGAAAAGTTTCATAGAAATTAGTAAAGGTGAAGGTGAGGGCTGGGTGGCTGGCTCAGGTCATGACAGTATGTTCATAAAGACACGAGAGCCCTCGGAAGAGCACGCACAGCAGCACACACCTGTATTCCTAGTGCAGATGCACAGAGAGGTGGGTCCTTGGAGCCACATAGTACTGCACACACATTCTCGGGTGTGTGCACACACACATACACACGCATGCACACACATGCACACACACATGCACACATGCGTACCACACACACAAGTGAACATGACTGAACCAATCAGGTGGTTGTTAAAACACATACATGGCTGATGATGAATACGAAGGCTAAACACTTACATTTCAGTCATCCGATTTAGAAAGCTTCCGCTTCACATGTCGTGGGGGTTCCCAAGTGTCACTATCATCTGTTTCTTCTTCCTCTTCTTCCTGCTCATCGATAACTTCCTCCTCCTCCTCATTTTCCTCAAATAATTCTATGCCTAACTCAGATCGTCTCTGTCTTTCTGCAAACCACTCTCTGACCTGCTCGTAGCCCATGTGTGATCTGTTGACAAGTTCATCAAGGTCTTGCTCATTAAGGAATTTGTGCTTCAGGTAATAGTCCTTAAGTATTGCCGTTCCAGTTTTAAACTTTATGAGCGATGGTACCCTGTCCCAGGTGTTCATTCTTTTGCCTCCTCTAGGCCTCCCACGTGGTCGGCCTCTGCCCCGTCCTTTGGGTCTGCCTCTCCCTCTTTTCCTAAGGGAAGACAGACCGTTCAAACTACTTGAATTGGAGCTTTGATAGTAGTAGTACCATTTCAAGTTGCCATTCTTCCAAGCATAACGGGTATCCCCAAACCAACTAACTATGTCTGTTCTGGCAAGCCCACTCTCCTCAGCCAGCTTGTCATACTCCTCTGGTGACGGCCACTGTGTTCGCACAAACGCACTTTTAAGTATGTGCAGCTGCTCCGGTGTCTTCTTACATATCTTGCCCGTCCCTCCAGACTTAGGTGCAGCTGCTTCGTCTCCAGGAGAACTTTCTCCAGGTTCTTCTTTGGAACTGCCTACATTACTTTCATCTACTTCTTTTTTGTCATCCTTTAAAGCTTTTGTTTTATTCTTCTCTGTAAACCAAGCATCAATTTCTCTTCTAGTAAGTTTGGTTTGCGCTCTTAGCCTATTTAACTCTTCATCTGTAAGCACAGAACTATTGAGAAAACTTGCCTGGAGGACACGGAGCTGCTCTGCTGTTTTCTCTTTAAACTTCTGGGGAGCAAAGTCAGGAAAGGGATTCCAGGACTGTTTCTGCTGTGAAGTAACTGCAGCTGGGGGTTCCGGGGTATCTTCACTCGAGTCTATAATGACAGTGGCAGAGGAGTCATTATTGAGATGTAAGCACTGATTACTCTTTGAATTTCTCTGGTTGTACCTTGTGTCGCTAAACCATTTTTTAATCTCGCCTTTGGTAAGGCCTGTTATTTTCATAAGCCTGATGATTTCTGAGTCATGTGGAAATTGGTTTTTAAGATAGCTAACCTTCAGTTCTGCCAGCTGTTCTTTAGTCTTTTTGGCCCGAATTCCAAAGGAATCTGGGTTCACTAACGCAGTTTCAGGTCTGACACTTGGCGACGATGGGACTGCTGCTGTGGCCACTTTTGTTTCTGTAGCAGGCTGAGCAGCGGGCACTTGACTCTTTTGTACACTTGCCTGATTTGGAACCCCTGCCACTGTCAGGGCGATTGGTGCTGATACCGGCAAGGTATTTGTTCCAGCTACTTGAGTAAGAACCAGGCCTGGCTGACCAACTATTTGGCATGTCTGTAAAATAGACGGTAGCCCATTATTCCCCGTGGAAATGTGTGTAGGAATAACAGTTATGGTCTGAGGTACAGTATGTACTGTTCCATTGAATTGCTTCCTCCTCGCCTCCTCTACTTCTTCAGGAGTCCAACTAACACCGTGCTTTAAGCGCTGGGCTGAAAACCAGATCTTGATCTGTTCCTCTGTGTATTTTGCTTGAGCAGAAAGAACTGTAATCTCTGACATTGTGGGGTACGGGAATTTGTTGTAGGTGTTGAGTAGAAGTGGGTTGTTATCCAATGCAGCGTTGTAGGTAGGAATGCTATTGACAGGGATTAAGACTTTGGGGACCAGGTTGGAGCTCTGTTGAGCAGACACTGCAGAGATGACCTGTGCTAACCCAGGAAGAACAGCAGAGGGCGTCACGACAGTGCGGGCAGGATTGGGGTGCACTCTGCTGATGGTGGAAGTGCTTGTACTGGATTCTGAGACTGAAGAACTCGCACTCTCCCCGTTTTCTTCCCGGTTTACTTTCACTCCGTTTTCTTTCTCTTCGGGAGTGTCCTCAGCCGAGTTATGATGCACTGTGATCCGTTTGTTCTCGACCTTATTTTTCATCATTTTCATGATGGGAGTTTTACTGATGGAGATTCCCGAAGAAGAAACATCTACAGATTCTCCTTGTTCTGTATTCTCCTCTTTAACAAAACTACCATCGAAAGTCAGATCGTTTATTGTTTGTTCAAAGATTGTCTGGTTATTACGCTTCACCATAGTCAGCTTGAAACTCTCTTCTCCTGGGTGGTACTTCAGATTATGCTCAGAAAGTGCGTCATACCTTTTGGTGAGAAAGTTGCATTCAACACAAACATAGGATGAATTCAGTACAACATTGGGGTGTTCTGAGTCTACATGGAAAGTAAACATGTTTAGATCTGGGGTTTGGAAAGTACAGTATTTACATTCATAGCCCCCTTCCACCTTTTTGCTTGGCTGATTGTCACAATCCACAGGGTCATGAACTTCTTCGTCACTGGGAACACTCTCTGCTCTAGCATTCTCTACAGGTGTGAGGACAGGAGGACCTTCATCCAAATCTGATATCAACTCAAGGTCTGGATCCTGCTCACTGGCCAGGACCATGCAAGGCGTTGTTGACTTTCGTCTGCTTGCCATTTTGATTTTAGGGGGGAATCTCAGTGGTGATTTAAAAGCACTGAGGCTTAACCCTGGAATCCTTCATTTGAAAACAGTGGCTTCTGGCTCTTCAAGTCCACTTTTGTGCTCAACAAGTCTCACTAGTAGCATTTCCATGGTGCAATCAAGTAAACAGCTTAGTCGGCAGGTAAGAGACCGCTGAGCTGCTGAAGTGTGTGAGGCACAACTCCAAGCACCTACATTGGGATAAATTTAAAATGAGTAACTATGGTTTTAATGAGATGACGTTATCATGTGTGCTCATGTTATGCTGTGGCATATGTCCATTATACAGATCTACCCTGTGGATCAGGAATCAGGAAAAAGGGCTCTAAGGATCTAAACAGATGCCTGTCTCCAAAGTCAACACACTGAAGACCATGTGATACTTAGGAGCAACCCCGTGTGTGTTTAGGGAGTCTCTCAGTCAGTCAATAGACTCCATAGAAAGAATAGGGCCGGGCCTGCTATGGAAGCACACTGTTACCACACTGTTAGCAGGGGAGGAACTGGAAGGGCAGCCATAGTGGCATGGACACGAAATCCAACCTATCAGCTAGGCCTTCTCCCCACTCGCCTGGCTGCGCTCAAATGCTGAAGGACTGGAGTTGAAGCATCTTACAGCTTACGCCGTTCCCTTCACTCTCTGGCCCGAACCTCATTTTTCTGCTGCATCTCTTGCCATCATCTTCTTATCTCCTTGGGAGATGGCAGTCACTCCAGGAATACCTGATGTGCTTTCTCCATTTCACTCAGGCTGCTCTTGATTCCAGGACACTTGTCTGTACACTTGATGGAATATCTCTCTACTTTATGAGTCACCTCTTTATATACACCTCTGTATTTCTAGTCTAGTGCTAACCACATTGTTGCATAGCCCTGCTAGCATTTCTGTTCCTGCTCCCTACCTATACCTGCGCACTTATAGGTGGTCTCCTTAGAAGTGATACTGTGTCCTCTTCTCTTTTTTCCCCAATAACAGCGTCATTATGATAAAAGTCTCCCTAACTCTAGACGAAGCAAAAGACCTCAGTATCTTCAACCTAACACTTTCTCAGTTGAGCTACTCCAGCTGATCTCTCTCATGTTTGACTCACTGTGCAAACAAGTCAGTGCTAGAGCAGGTAAACACTGTCAATTAACCTGAACTGGCAGGAATAGGAAAGTAGTTCCAGAGAACCCAACTGGGTCAGAGCATATCACTCTAGTCAATAATAGCTGGAACTCATAATACTGATACTGAATCATCAACATATACACTCTTGAAAATCACTGAATTTTATATATGAAATGGGTGGATCTCATGGTATATGAATTATAGCTCAATAAAGCTATAACACTTTTATTTTATTTTTTGCTTTTCGAGACAGGGTTTCTCTGTGTAGCCCTGGATATCCTGGAACTCACTCTGT